AAGAAATGCATGGATAAGGATCAAAAGAAACGACCCACGGCAACTGTTCTTTGTAACGTAATTGGTTATTGGCTTTATGAAATGAGTCAGGATGATGATAGCGAAATTAAGAACCAATTCTTGGAAGCAGAGAAAATTAAACTTAATATTAAATCATCAAAGCATCCGAATGACATGTATGTCAGCAAATCCATCAATACAAAAGAGATAACCAGCCGGATTAACAAAATTGCCTGACGATCTATACAGATAAATTTTATTCAATAATGATTCAGCTGAATTCAATAAAATTTGATTTCAGCACAGTTGAAATATAAAAGCATAAAGTTGATAGAACAATTTTGATAACGTTACTTTATTCTTTTGTTACATATTATGTGATATATTACTGTAAAGGATGGTACAAAAATCTGTAAACCTTCTAGTGTCAATTAAAATAATATTTTTTTGCTAATATGTAGCAAGATAGATTTAACACTTATAAATCTATTTACAATTGGAACTAAATCTGTACATTGAGAATTTATACTCAAATTTAGTTTATACTCTTGTCAGCCTGAAATATAATTCGTTACGTAGCGTAACTTTGGATATGAACGATCCGTCAAAAAGCATATGCCGTAACATTTTTCATGTGTCGTGACATTTGTCATATGTCATAACATTTGATGTGTGTCGTAACAATTAGTTCATAACACTGTAATACTCGAACGCATTAAACTTTTGATACGTGACAATGCATATAGTTCTATTCCTTTCCTATTTACTTTCTAACCTTAAATCGCAACAAGGATTTTGTAATTACGCCTTTAGGGCTTATCTTTGCGATACGTAATAACCTTAGCGTGACTATTGTCATGCGTCAGGTTATTACACAAATTCTTCAAATCATTCAATATGATTTTGTATGAAAAACTAATGATACATCGGAGACCCACCTTCTTTCGAGTTGCTTTCAGTATGTGAGCTTAACTAGCATCACCCAAAAATCCGTTCCTGTCAGAATAATTAAAATTAAATAGCAGCAATAGGTTGATTTACCGATATAATGAAGTTCACTGCTGATCAAATATCTTCGACATATGGAAATATTTGGATATTAGAAGAATGCATATTTGTCAAAAACTTTTTGCTATAAAATATTGCAATGTAAAAATTCGATATCTCAAGTTTTGACTGTATGTAGAAAACAGAAAATGAATCCCGATATTTTTTAATTTTTATTACACACATTTTTTTATAACGATAATACCAAAAAGACGTTTTCTTAAACGAATATAATTTATTGGTTGAACATGTAATTTTTAATTTATCATGAGTAGTTAAAACTTAATTTAAATAAGTACCTCTAATTTCCTTTGTACAATTTCATTTCAGAATTCTTGGATTGTTTTTTTTTGCATTAATTTACGGATTTCTTAATATCAAAGATATTAAAGCCAGTCTATTGCCATTAGAAAGTGTTTGCATTATTCCATTTATATCATTATCAATGCCTTCACATTTTCAATGCTTCCAAGTTCTTCATCCTTTTGATTGGATTGGAATTTACTCAAACAGTCGGTTTTTTTTTTTTATTGAAAAAGAGCTGATGACTTCAATAAATTTTATCACCTAAAAAAGTTAAATGAATTTTTTAAACTTCCATTAATACAGTATTATCTATGTTAATAAGAGCTTTATAAATTATGGAGATAATGCTTTCTACACTATATCTAACGAATATGTTCTTTCACATTAGACAAAATAATGGAAGCTTTTTTTACAATTTTTTGTTTTTATGTTTCAGACATTTGTAATAAGCCTCTTTTTCATGAAAAGCCTCTAACGCTAATTTTTAAATCTTTGCAAATAAAACAAGTTATAACAACTTTTTTTGTACAAGAAAATGGTACGTATTATAAACATTACGAATTTTGATTGTCACACAAAAACAAAAATATCGGAATTATAATTTTGAGTTTAAGCAGGAACTGATTTTCGGACGATGCTTAGTGTGTGCGAGATTCAGTGACCTAAATCAGCCCCTCACAACGTATTGTAAGGTAACATATAAAGATATTGGTGGTTGGATTTTTTCGTATATATTACATTCAGTATGAGCATAAAAATTTCCAAGGATTAATAACAACCTAATAGAAAACATTTAGCAAGTTACTAGCTACTCACTTGTGATGACATCTTTTTTTTTATAGCTAATACATATTAGTACACAACTAGCCATAACAGTAAGAATAATACGTATTACAGTATTAACATGACTTGCCTAATTATATGCTGTAGTATTTAAATGTCATTTGTGTTATATTTTATCGAATAGTATAGCGTATTACCTACTTATATATCATGTTTATTAAGTTTTTGATTACAAGTGATTAGTGCTCGGCAAAACTTGATACTCTAACGCTAATACATAACGATAATCAAGTTTGGTCATAGATTAAATCAGTTATACATATTTGTCAAGTTTTTGCTTGATTTTGCCAAGCATTAACGTTAACGTTAACGTTAATGATACAAATATCAAAGAAAATGGCTTAGATCTACCTCTTACATATTTGAAGCTTGTGATACATGCATATAATTCGTCATTAATTTTTCACAAATAATGAATTGTACTTTTTCTAAAAGAAAAAATGACTACGTTAGAAACTGGTGAAAAATTATTGTGGGACATTCGCATCGTAGAATTCATCGATGTAGTCTCAAAAGATACATCGAAACCTACTGAACTAATTGCTGCCTTAATAACAAAATATTTTCCAGAAAAAGAAATTGATATATTTACACAAATACCTGAAAGATCTCAATCTATACTTAAGCGTAATGAAGTAGAAAAAGAACTTGGTCAAATTATGATCGAAGAACTTAAACAAAATCTTGTTGGATATCGAGATGCCCCTAGTAATAAACAATCAAATTATTTAACAAATTTAATCAAACAATGCGATACTTTTTATAAAAATTTGACTAATGAAAATAAGGACAACGTAAATTTGGTTACTATTGCTATCACATATTCAATTATGCATCTTGCTATTTTGAAAGAGAAAAGCACTTATCATAAGGTACTAAAATTTCTTATTATTAAAATTCTTTTAAAATAAAATCTGTAACAGTAAAAGTTATATATAATCACTTATTTTAGGAAATATTCAATTCTTATGAGTCGGATTTACGACAAAAAGTTGAAGGATATAAAAAATATTTTTTAGAAATATATTATAAATGGGAAAATTGGCGCAAAAATTGTATTGAAGTAAAGATGAATAATAATATTCCTAACAAAGTTTATGATACTTTTAATGGTAAATCTGTTACTTATATAAACACAGAAATTAACCAAGCAGCAATAACAAGATACACTGAAATGTGTAAACGAGTAAAAGTACGTTATTTCGATGAAGCAAACGCTGAGTTTATGAAAATGTATCTGTATACATTTACATTGGATAAATTCTTACCTAATAATTCGAATGCCCGCACAATCGCTCCAAATCGAAAAATTGGTACAATTGTTTATGGAATTTATGGACAAGATACGTTTCCAGACGGTGATCATGGCCCTGAAGATCATAGTGAATTACATCAAATGAGTAATGATAAACCTGATGTAATTACTGGTATAAACGTTCATGCTGGTTTTTTCTTGGATTGTCTAAAGGTTAAATATAAAAATCAAATTGGAACCAGTATCGGAAATGAAAAAGGTGGTGAAGTGACTACTATTCGACATCTTGACGAAAAGTATAATTATGTGACTGGTGTAAAAGTTTATTTTCGTGAACGTGTTGTTAGTGGCATTCAATTCCTTATGTCAGATGGGCAAGAAACTATGATGTTTGGAAATGGTGAAGCAAATCAAAAGTCATTGGAAATCAAATGTGGTCCTATAGGTTATAATAACGATTTCAGATTGGTAGGGATTCAAATGGCTGAATCAAAAGCTGATAAGCATTTTAATCGTTGTGTAGGTCATATTTCTTTGACATTTGAGCATGTGCGTATTGCAAATTAGTTTCTTTCAAAAGGTTTTAAGTGAAAAAAAGTGGATGACTAATGAAGTATTTGAAGCCATGTTACAAAGAAAATAATTTCTTTAAAAAAATAATTTCTTTAAAAAAATAATTTCTTTAAAAAAATTTTTTTATTTTCAAAATATTTTTACATTAAATAAATTGACGCACTATATAGATTTTAAACTTATATCAATTTTTAATCGACGGTCATCTGAAAATGACTTCTAACATGATTAATAGTTTAGATGATTTCAAACAAGAATGTCCTATTTATGTGTGTAATGCGTACAAGTTTATGGCTTTGGTGATTTTGTCATAGCGAAATAGTTATATAGTCTGGCCAACCAATTATAGACGGTCAGTTTTGAATAAATAACTTATGGAAAAAACACGTAAGCTATCATATAAAATAGATTGTTTAATATTTTTATTGCTTTTACAGTTTGGTGTGCAACCTGTCAAAAAATAGATTATATCCAATTGTTTTTGCTTTATTAGCACATTTTCGATTCATCTAGGCTATTGTACCTTAAATATAAGTTAGTTAATGTGATATTTCAGCCAGTATTTGCCTGCTAATTCACCTATACTACGTATTATAGCTTAAATCTAAATTAGTTAAGATTATATTTTTGCATAAAGCTTCAGCAAGTGTTTTTCGTCATGATCCACCTAAACTATTACTACTTAAATATAAATCAATTAATGTGGTATTTTTGCATAAAGCTTCAGCCAGTTCTTTGTTTACTAATTCACCTATATTATTATTATATAACTTTAAATTAGTTAAGGTGGTAATTTTGCATAAAGCTTTGGCAAGTCCTTTCTTCCTGATTAACCTAGCCTATTACCACATAAATCTAAATTAGTTAAGGTGGTATTTTTGCATAAAGCTTCGGCCAGTGCTTTGCCTGCTAATTCATCTATACTATTATAACTTAAATTTAAATTAGTTAAGGTGGGATTTTTGCATAAAGCTTCAATAAGTGCTTTCTCTGATAATTTACCTATAACTATTACCTAAATTTAGATTTTTTGACGTTGTATTTTTGCATAAAGCTTCAGCTAGTGAATTTCCAACGTATTCGCCTAACATATTATTATTTAAATTTAAATTAGTTAAGGCGGTATTATTGCATAAAACTTCAGTCAGTGGTTTTATAGCTTTACTACTGAATAGTTTGTTATTTAAATTTAAACACATAAGGTTACCATTCTTAATTTTTTTCTAAATTTAAACTTAAATTTAAACTAATTAATGTAGTATTATTGCCTAGTACCTCGGCTATTTCTCGCCTTGCCTCGTTGCAAATTTGCATTGAGCTCAAACCCGAATATTCCGAGGTGGGATTTGTACGTAGAGTTTCAGTTAGAGCTTTTCCTATCTCATTGCACAGCTTATCATGGTTCAAATTTAAATTGCTCAAGTTGGTAATCCTGTTAATTTGTTTTAGTTATTGATAGGGCATATGTCTGTGAATTTGTCATTTCTTATTATTTGCATATGAATTCATTATTGGTTTATTAACCAATTTCCTTTGCTTTATTTCATCTTATAAATATAGTACCATAAGTAGATATAGCCATATGTTTAGATTAATGAAATAATTACTTATATATTAAATTTTAACTTATCGGAATCTTTTTTGAAGTTGATGGGTTTATTGTTGAATTTAGATTGTTAATAAAATCAATGATTATCATCTCTAAGACCTGATTCCGTATTTTACTGAATGAAAATGAATCAATGCTAATGTCTTGAAAATAATCTACAGAGCTCGATGTAGAAGATCTGGAAGTTTGAAATAGACCTGAAAGCATAGTCTATAGTAGGACTAATAATTTGCTATAGGTTTTAGAATAAATATGTAATATTTAACTAGAAATTTTCCGGACTTAAATAATGCTTGTCGTTTATTTTAAGCTTCTATAAAATTTTTTTCTCTCCAATATGTAGAATTGATTTGATTATATATTTCATTAATAGATGGACTCTTTAAAGGATCAATACGCCAACGTTATTGCATCAAAATATCCCAGCATTGTAGTGTATATTTGGTCGCAACAGTAATTTTTTTATCACAAATATTTAGCATAAGATGTATGTCATATGCCCGATAATAGAAAGGACGGCATCCAGTTGTAAGTTCCAACATGATCATTCCTAAACTGTAGATATCTGAACTAAATGAGAATTGTTTTTTTATTTAATACCTCAGGTGCAATAAATGGCATAGTTCCATATATTTTTCGTTCTGAACTTTCTAGATCATCTTTTGCTGGCCGACTAAATCCTAATCCGCAATTGAGGTAGAGTACTGATTATCTATTAATATATTTCCACTATGTATATCGTGATGTATAATTGTATTTTCATGAATCCATTTAATGCCTTTAATAATATTTTTAAAAAAGCCTAGTTTCAAATTATTAGATAAATAATCATTTATGCTTCCATTGAGTATATAATGCATAACAAAAATATAGTCCTTTGTATTTGGATCTTGCAATACCCCATAACATACATTGTATTTTATTAAGTCTTTGGCACTGTTATATGATTATTTAATGCAACGATATTATTTATTTTTCTAATGATTTAAAGTGTGAATAAACATTTTTTTAACTATAAATGAATAAGACGGCGTACGTCAGAATTGGGCTGACTTCTAGTAATATTTTGTAACTGCAACAAAGATTCACTAATAGTTAAAATTAAGTTTATTTACTATTATCAGTGTTTGCTAATAGAATATTTTAGTTCGAATAGAACAGTAAACCATTTTTTTGGTTTAAATAATCTATAATTATCAAATAAAACATATGTTATTTGATTAAAAATAATATACTATAATTAAATATAATGAATTTACAATATAACAATAGAATGCCACCTGTTCCTATTCAGTTTATATTTCTAAAATTATTGAACGATATCCATTCTAAAATTATTGAACGATATCCATTCTAATCTATAGTTATATTGATTTTTATGCGTTAATTTAATTAAATTGTCAATATCTTGATTTCTGCTACTGATAACAAGCTGGCACACAACTTGTTATTCTCATATTTAAGTTTTCTCTTTCTATTACAGCTGGCACATTTTGATTTGTTTGGAACGGCAATGAGTACAGCTTATCAAATTTAAGAATTCGATTTTATTGCGTTTCATCTTTATTTTATTTAACATTTATATTAAAATTGTATATATTTACAGAATAATCTTTTTATAATTAAAAACGTTAATAACGTGCTAATTAGAGGCTACTAAAAAATCGTTATAAACAAAGGTCAAATTTACTTTTATTTGATCGGGAGATAAAGAATTTATTTATTTTATTAAAGCATACTTTCGAATATTTATCTTTCCTGTAGAAACTTCTATTGCTACGCATACTTTGTTATGATTAGTGATTAGTGATGGAAAGGGAATTATTTACATAAATGTAGAAATAATTTCCTTGTACGATACAGATTGAAGTTTAGAAAATTTTAGTATAACAAATAATAGTATCACATATTTCTAAAAAGATTATGGCATTTTAAATCTTAAATAATATGCTATGTTTTAATAAAAAGATTGTCAATAACTTTATTTAATGATTTATAAAAATAGTATTTTTATCGGCTTTATTTGAGTATTAATGAATTAGTGTTGCTAAAGAAAACCCGAATATCTCTAGATGTCAAACCTTTTGAGCAACATAGTACAGGTCGATTAAAAAAGGATTATTCCGGCATATAGATGCGCCATTTATATGATATCCAAATTTTTTTTGCGTACAGTTGTACAGTTGTACAGTATGTATAGTGTGTATAGCCACGTAGCATTTATAAATCAGTTATATGCAACATTTTGCAAGGAGCAATTTTTGTTAGAATGCGAAAGACAGTTTCATAATCAAAATTTTGAGATAGGGATACTTTCATGGTTTGATCTAGAATATTCTAAACAATTTTTTGCGTACTGTACTGTACGCGATTCTGGCCATTTCAGATTAACTATGATTATTTGTTTAAAATGGTATAATGTGGCTACGCGTAATATCAAATACTTTAGAAATCCAAATAAGTAATAATCTATGTTACGAATTTTATCTCTAAAGGTTTCTCAAATATAATAGCCGTATGGCGGTATCTAAAAAAAGAAGTCAGCGAGAAACCTTAGTATACCTGTGGAACAAAGGTGTACATAATGCAAAGGAGCTTTATGCTCGAACCAGTATCTCCCTGTCTACTGACAATGTATACCAAAAAAACTTGCAAGAATTAGAGCAATCTATGAAAGAGGAATGGAATAAAATTTCAAATTCATTTTTAGTTAGTTTAGTAAGAACAATGAAGCAACGATGTGAGTTAGTAATTGAAAATATGGGTGAACGAATATTGATTTTTTAATTAATAAATCATCTTTGTCTACCAACTACATAATCATATAATTTTTAATTCCAATTTTTTTTTTTGTCCAGTGTATATTTTAAAGTTTATTTATTTCGTTAAATTGGAGTCTCTAAAAACCCCATTTAATTATTCGATTTCAAAATTTTTTGATTCACACAAATATGATATTTTAAATTTTCTGAAATACGCTATATTTTTTTTTTATTATGACAAAATGAATTGTTTTGCAAATCAAAACAATTATCATTTTAAGTTCTAAATATTATATAGTTTGAAATGTCCGGTCTTGTTCTATTATAAAAATAATAAAAATTATTGTATAAATTTATTAATCTGTTACGTATTTATAGCATGATCTTTTTTTATCCACTGTATTATAATAATAGTAATAGAACAAATGATATTTTTTACATGGTAAAATAGGTAAAATACAAATTTGATCTACATATTATAAAAATTTATTATAAAGGTTTGCCAATATAGCATAAAGTTTTATTAATATTAATTACTTTGGGTTTATTAAAAAAATTTCTTTATAAATTTTGTTTGTAAATCCTATTTAATTTTTAACCTTTAAAATATTAATAAAATTTAATTTTTGTTAACTTTATTGTATTGAATTTTAAGATTTCCAATAACATGAAAATCTTTATGCTATGTACATATATTTGTCGCATCTGAAGTAGCGATTTATCTAAAGTAGCCACTTTATATATCTAAAGTAGCGCCCTGGCTAAAATTATAACCTAATGCATGCATAAAGATCTAATTTCAGGGGCTTAATTTTAGCCAGGCGCTACTTTAGATAAATCGCTACTTTAGATGCAACATATTCAAACCAAAAGGATTACAGTATTGTCATAAACACATGATTTCATGTTATAAAACCATTACCTTATGTGCAGTTGTGTGGTGAAGATAGTATAATTCTAAGTATAAAATTTAAATTACACTAAATTAATAAAACTCTAGCTTAAAGCTATTTTTACATTTATTTAAAAGCGAAGAAATTCAAGAAAATAACTAAAATAAAAGATTCAAAGCAATTGTAAGCTAAAATTATATGTACAGTATAATCTCGAGATAATTAACGAAATCCTGATGTAATGAAATGCGAATTTCGTTATGCTAAAATTATAAATAAATGAATGCCGTCAAAAGAAAACCTGTCATCAGGTTTTCAATTATATTTTGTTTGTCCACTGTAGAGTTTATCCATTGGTAGGGATGGTAAAAAATCATTTTTAACCAATTTAAATCATGTGATGATTATAATCTGGATGTGCTGAGGCTTGCATTTAATGTATTCGGATCATAATCACATGTTTTAATATGTAGTAAAATCCTAAGTTTAATATGAAAACGGATGACCGGATCCAAGCTTTAGTTCACTGAGTGCCGTCTAAGGAAAATCTATTGACGGGCTTTCAATTATATTTGTGACAAGTCATTGCAAATATGATCGAAAGTCGATGATAGGGCGACACTCAGAGCACAAGCTGAAAGCCCGGTGACAGGTTTTCTTTTGATGGACTCAAATGATATCTTGACTCTTGTCAAAAATTTTTATATACAGTCAATCAAATTAGTTGCTTTTATTTAATAAATTCTTTTGTAATATTCTATTATTAAATTATTATTATTTTTATTAGTAAAATAACTATTGATATAATTATTAAGTTAATGCTTACAACCTCAAATGCATTAATGCAATTGGAATATGCGTACCAATTTCTTAAAATTCGTAGGGTTGAGAGTTATAGAGGAGTAGTTTTAATAGTAAAATTGTCCAACTAAAACTTTCTAATAGAGCACAAAAGGTGGTTTCTTATCCTAATTTTGAGTTATGTGCGATTTTTGGTAAAACGAATGTTTGATTTGAATCTTCTTGTTCGTGTTACGTTATACAGAGTCTTGAATCTGATTCGCAGTTCAGGAAAACTATGTCACCGATCTGGTACGCATTTTCTGATTTCTAATTAATATAATATCGATATTACATGAGTGTGGATCCATGACCGTGAAAACGGCATAGTCGTACGTAGAGATGTGTCATTTAGGGTTGTTATTGAACATATGTTCAGTTTCTTGGACTTTTGGTCCATTCAATCTAACTCGTCAGTTTTAAGTAATTGAACAGTCCAGTTCTATTCAATTTAGTTAGTCCAATCCAGTTTACTTTAGTCCAGTTATAGTCCAACAATAAATCTATACAAATGGCTACTATATACATATACATTTTTGGTCCAATAACAACTCTGGTGCCATTTATATGATACCCGAATTTTTTTCGCGTACATTGCTCTAGTCGTACGTATGTGGCTGGCTATTCAGGGTGCTATTGAGAATAATCTCGAGGATTCCGAATAACATAGTCGTATAATTGAGCATGAGTTACTTAAATTTTCCTTCAATACTAAAATATTCTTATTACATGATTTCCAGATTCAATTTCAATCATAGCTTCAAACCATTGATGTGATTTATTATATATGAAAAAACTCCACATCTTCATATAATGAAAAGCAGAGATCATTTAATAAAGATGCACCCAAAATATACCAAAGATTCTAGGATTCCTAGTTCTCGGGCGTTGCCTTCAGTGTGTGTGAGATCCAGAGATACCAATCAGACCCACAAAACATATTATAACATATAAAGTCATCATGTATCGCTAATGATTCAATTTTTTCATGTACATTGTGCATACAGTACGAGCCTAACCATTTTTAATGATCTGAAAAACAGACAGAAATCGTTCAAATCTTTCTTTTTTAATGACTCCATAACCTAATAATAATAATAATAATAATAAGTATTAACATGACTTTCCTAATTATATGCTATAGTATTATTAAACTTGACATGAGATGTAAACTTCACGATGAAATTTCCAATGGACTAACTTGCGTTATTCCTATTTTATTAAATAGTACAAAGAATCTTAAATTATTTCATTTTTTATTTTTGTTAAAAAAAACGTCACTCATGTATTACCTATCTACGTATCTTGTTTATTGTGTTTCTATAAATAAGTGATGTAAATAAGTTACCAAAGAAAATGGCTTAGTAATGGCTTAGTCACACAGAGCTTATTTTCTTTACAAATTGATTCTACGTAATGTATGTACGTACATACATAAATTCCCTCGTACCTTACGTCGCACTTATGTATGTACTGTACATATGAATATTTTTTCAATAAGTTTGTGATACATGACATTTGAGCATAATTTTTTTCACAAAATAATTAATATTGTTCTTTGTTGAAAAGAAAAAAATGACTACGTTAGAAAACGGAGAAAATTCCAAAGATATGTCATGGGACATTCGCATCGTAGAATTCATCGATATGGTTTCAAAAGATATATCGAAACCTACTGAACTAATTATTGCCTTAATAACAAAATATTTTCCAGAAAATGAAATTGATATATTTACACAAATACCTGAAAGATCTCAATCTATACTTAAGCGTAATGAAGTAGAAAAAGAACTTGGTCAAATTATGATCGAAGAACTTAAACAAAATCTTATTGAATATCGAGATGCTCCGAGAAATAAACAATCAAATTATTTGACAAATTTAATCAAACAATGCGATACTTTTTATAAAAATTTGACTAATGAGAATAAGGACAATTTAAATTTGGTTACTATCGCTATCACTTATTCAATTATGCATCTTGTTATTTTGAAAGAGAAAAGCACTTATCATAAGGTACTCAAATTTCTTATTGTTAAAGTCCCTTTAAAATAAAATCTGTAACAGTAAAGTTATATATAATCACTTATTTTAGGAAATATTCAAATCTTATGAGTCAGATTTACGACAAAAAGTCAAAGGTTATAAAAAATATTTTTTAGAAATATATTCTAAATGGGAAAATTGGCGTCAAGATTATATTGAAATAAAAATTCCTAATGAAGTTTATGATAACCTTCTTGGTAAAAATATTACTTATGTAAACGCAGAAATCAATCAAGCAGCAAAATACATTGAAATGTGTAAACGAGTAAAATTACGATATTTCAATGAAGCAAAAGCCGAGTTTATGAAAATGTATATGTATACATTTGCATTGGATAAATTCTTACCTAATAATTCGAATGCCCTTACAATCGCTCCAAATCGAAAAATTGGCACAATTGTTTATGGAATTTATGGTAAAGATACGTATCCAGACGGTAATCTCCAACTAAAAGATCATGATATATTACACCAAATGTATAATGATAAGCCTGGTGTCATTACTGGTTTGAACGTCCATGCTGGTGATGTCTTAGATTGTCTAAAGGTTAAATATAAAAATCAAATTGGCACTACTCTCGGTAATGAAAAGGGTGGTTATGTGACTACTATTCGAGGTCTTGACGAGAAGAATAATTATGTGGTCGGTGTGAATATTTATTTTCGTGTTTATGGTAATGAACGTGTTGTTAGTGGCATTCAATTTTTTATGTCAGATGGTCAAATTTCAAATATTATTGGAAATGGTCAAAAAAATCAAAAGACATTGGAAGTCAATTGTGGTCCTATAGGCTATAACAAAGATTTCAAATTAATAGGAATTCAAATGGCAGAATCAAATACTAAACGTTATATCACTCATATTTCTTTTATATTTGAGCATGTGCGTATTGCAAAATAGTTTGACATCAGTTTTATTGTTAGCTGGGATTATGGATTTATTTTATCAGTAATTTTTTATTATATTAAAAAAATAATTGCTTTATTTTTTTTTTACTTAATCACATTTGTTATGTTTAATACCATAGTTAAATTTCTATTAATTCTAGTCTTTCCTAAATTTAATTTCTGAAATTTCTAATTTCGAAATTACTATAAAAATGTTGGTTTTGAGTGTGATTCAGTGATAATTTATTTATTTTATTGATGAATATATATATTTATATTTTTTAGCTAATTGTTTTTTGCATATTATTGATACTTTCAAAAGTACACACTTTTGGAATTATTGAAATAAAAGTATCTTAAAACGGTATGATTAATAAAATATTTTTAAAATATTAATCATTGACTATCAGAAAAATTTAATGAACTGATGTAAAGATACGAAGAGTAATATTATTTAAGACCAAATATTTAATTTACCAGTAAAACCAGATAGATAAATGAAATGCCATTGAATTCAAACTCAAAGATTCATGGAATGGCGGCATATATTGTACCACAAACTTTTTTAACCATGAGTAGGAACGTAATATGAAATCTGATAGTTTTGATGTAATTCTCTAAGAAATTTCAAGTAGAAAATCACCATATCAATCTTTTAAATCCAAAGATTCGCTTATTCTTCGGATCTCCTAAGGAAAAGGAGAAAGCTTCTTCATCTCAGTATATTAAGCTTTACTTTGCTGAAAATGTTGGGACAATGATCTTAATAATCGTCCAGAAATCAGAAATAAAATTAACTCTTGAATTTTAAATAAACTTATTTATCAACTTATTTTAAATAAACTTATTTATCAACTTATTTCAAACGAAATTTTAAGACGTTATATTGATGAAACATCATCTCAACATAGAAATCTTTCTTTAACCAACAAAATAATATAAATGAAATATGTAAATTTGAATGAATTTACAACATTAAATTAACCCTATTTATATGGTATAATAAACTCAATTAACTTATATGAAATCACATGACAAAAAAATGTTTGAGAATAAGAGAAATAAAAATGCGTATGCATAGTTTTGAGGATAGGAACGTGATTCTGGTAAATAAATAAATAATAAAGGCACTTTAGATCTTGGCTACTATGATCTTGGATCAGAAGGAGGAAAAGCATTAGCAGATGCACTTTTAAAAAACATCAGGCTGAAAGATTTGAATCTTAATAATAATTATTTTGGACCAGACGGAGGAAAAGAATTAGCAAATGCACTTTGCAAGAGCACTACTTGGCTTCTTTAGATATTTGTCATATTGTCTTGAATCAAAAAAAGACAAAATATTGTCAGATGCGCTTTGCAATAACACCACTCTGACTTTATTAAACCTTGGTTTGATTGCCTTGGTTCAAAAGAAGTGAAAGCATCAACAAATGCATTTTGCAAGAGCGTTATACTAAGATATTTAAATCTTAATAAAAATATTTTTGTATCTTAAGGATGAAAAACATTAGCAAATGCACTTTTTAAATCTTAGCTGGAATTAAAAAATATAAAATATCCGAGTTTTGGTTCAAATGGTCTTTGCAAGAATGCTATTCTAAATGATTTGAACCTTTCTAATATAATATTTAGTTAAAAAGATTGTTTCACAAATGTATTAATTCATTTGCGAAGTTCTTATAATTAAAAAATAATAATATCTACACATAGCATTATGAAGATTATTTAAAGAAAAAACATCATCACATAATTGTCTTAATTGGATATTATTGGCTGAACAATAAGTCAGTAATATATTTTTGAACTGAACTTAGATGCAAATTATTCAACTAGAGATGAAAAAAAGTCAAAAATTAAAAATCAAATCTCTATTTTCAATTATTATTTAATTCTCTTTTACTTGAACCTTTTCAAATGCTTATAGCAAACTTTTATACAAATATATAAGCATTAATTATTGTATATTTAATTATAAAGTTATAATTACAAAGAACTGTAACTTCTTTATAAACACTCTATTTAACAACTTTTATTAAATAAAATTTCTACTAATACTAAAACTTATAAGAATTACTTGATATAAAATTTAATATTTTATTATTTATATTATTATTTATATTATTTTTAATAAAATCTTATACAAATATAGTTATAATTATTAATACTCATTTTGAAACATGTTATTGTATCTATTTTTCAAAAAACTTAATTATATTATTAAATTAATCAAATGACTTATTCAATATTTTAATATTTTTAATATTAATTAAAATATTTCTTAAATTAATAAGCAATCATAGCATGAAGTTGAATTACTTATTTTTACCAAATTTTTTTATACTTACATCTGGAAAATTTTTTTACAGAAATTAATTGATATATAGCATTTAATCAATATATATCATTTGCAAATTAATGATATATATTGATTAATAGATTTATAATTGATATATATTAAATATCGATGCAAATCGATAATAAGATAATAATCAATAAAATACAATTATCAATTGTTATCGAATTTATTTCAATTATCATAATTTTTGTTACATCATTATCAATAGATAAATATATATTACAAAATATACTTTCAATTTTGAATACTTTAAATATTAATATACTTTTTAATATAATATTAAAACATAAAAATTTTTATTAAGTATTCATTCATTTTATTATATTTTGGGATTATATAAACTGTTCTATCTATGCTATCTAATGATATACAATTATATTGTTTAAATAGTTTTAATTTAGGACTTCTATAATTCATCAACTTCCTCATACCAGTGAACTAAAGTGAATTCAAATGATTCTTTATCTATTTGATCAAACTTAAGTATTAACAATACCTTAATATATAACATTTATATTAGTATAGATTCAGTACTCTTGAAACTAGATAAAAATATATTAAATATGCTTCTAAGTTCAAGAGTTATTTTGCTTATTATTATTATTAACCATATTTATTAGTAAATACATAATTACAATAGTATGCAAATAAAATTAAAGTTAAACTATACTTACTAATCTATACCAATATATTACTTCTTTTTTATTACCACTGCTAACAATAATGTTTGAAAACATTGAGACATCATGAAAACTTAATATAATATAAATTATATCTATACTTTATAATGATGTAAAAGAAAATATTTCTATAAAATTATTCTCATCAATAGATATAATTGATTTCTTATTAAAAAATTTGTCAAAACCAGTTAAGAGGTTTTGAAAGCTTTCAACTTTTAATAAATCTAAATTTTTTTATTTTTCTTAAGCAAATTATCCAAACCTTTTAAATTTAGTGACCACAAAGTTTTTCTAAACTCTTTAGTACAATGATATCTCTTGAAAACTTCTTTTTCAGTTAACTTCTGCCACTTAATCTGAGAATAATAATTGCATACATTAACAATTAATAATGATTATTTGGAATAATTATAACTACTGTCTTTAATATTTGTTTCATATAGTTTTTTTTATTTGACATGTAATAGGATTCTTTTATATAATTCTTATTAAGGAATTTATAAGTTTCTGTAGTTATACTATTTATTGACCTGTACTCTTGAATTATAAGCACTATATAATAACATCAAGCATGGAGTTTTGAAAGCTAAAGACAATTCTGTACTCTTTTGTTTTACCTAAATCTTATATGTTAGGATTTTTACTTAAAATAAATCTTTTTTGTCACATATTCTATTTTGCAATGATCAAAGACTATCTTTTATTATTGCTAAGTTGATTTGTTCTTTTGAATCTGTTTCTTGATCTTTAGCAATTTTTTTTTTGTTATTAAGATTTGACTTATCTTGACTTAACTTTATATGTCCTGATTTTAAAAACACTTTACTTTTTTTTTCTCTGTTTTTAACTTCACTAGCCATAACTGCTAATTTTTCTAGGTTTGTCAATAAGTGGTTTTGATTTGATATATTAGTTTCTACAACAATAATAAACTCTTCTATATTATCAGTAATATTTTGACTAGTTTCTTCTTCTATTTCAACTATTGATTCTTTTTGGTTCTACTTTTTTGGACCAGTTTGTTGAAAGGTAGTGTTTAAATCTTCTTTTTCTATTTTTATTTTGTTTTTATTTTTTAATATTGTTACACTACTTATATTAGTTATATAGTTAATTGCTCTTGAATTGTATTGTGTCATTTTTGCTTTTGTTATTCATTTTTCAATTAATATTTTTTCAAGACTTCTAGTTTTAATTTGCCTTAACACTTTTAAGACTTGACTATAAATCAACAAATCCTGTTTTGTAATTTTATTTAGATTACTAATTGTTATACTATATGTTATTTGCTCTATATTGTTGAACTATAAGGGGTTGTAACTTTTAGTACTTTAATTAGCATATTGCTATCTAAGTAACTAAGATTTTTTTCATCTACTTCTCAAATAAATTTAAGTAGCCTCTGCTTATGTAACTTACTTATCTTCTAATCTGTACTTTAATGATAATTAACTAATATCTATAATTAGTATTATTCTGAATTTTTCTAAAAGTGGCATGTGCTTTTTCTGTTGTTGTTTAATTATATAATTGTTGTTTTATTAAGGTTTATTTACCTGTTCTAAATAGGATCATGATCTATTATTTGTTTACTTTATTGTTTACATGTTTATGTATAATCTAATTTGGTCTGCCAAATTGGGACTCTAACAATTTTTCAAATTTTTAAGAAAAATTTAAAAAAAAACTAAATTGTTTTTTTGTACTTTGTATTATACTAAGAAAGAAAAAAGCTTCTAACAAACGTTATATTGTTTTTTGTTTATTTTCTTTTCCTTTAAAGTATCAGAACAGGTTTTTTAAATTAATTTTTGCTTGCTATAACTATTTTTGTCTTGTTCATTTTTGAAAAAAGAGATTAGCAAAAAGAGTTTTTGAATATCATACATGAATTATTATTGTTTTAAATTACTATATATATTATAAGCAATAAAATGATAATGCCAAAAGCTTATTAAAATAGATAATTAG